AGGGTTCCTGCTTGCGTTTCATGCCCTGCTACTGCCTGCAGTGCCCTCTCCATGTAATGCTTCACCTCTGTGTCCCTGTTTCTCTGACAGAAGAGAAGAAAGGATTTTACAGGATTTTTCAAAGGCTATGCTCACTGATAACTAGTTTATAACACAGAAAGTGTCAGCACTTACCAACAAAGGAATATATTTACTTCCCCCCACCCCTGACAAGATTTATATCATGCTGGGGCAAAAATCCAGATGTTGGATCCTTATCTAAATGCAAATGAGTACAACTGACCTCGAAAGTCCTGCGAAGTTAACATTAACCAAGTACTTTTCCTGTTGTGAAGCGTCCCTCTCCTGTGACTCTGATTTAACTTAAAAAACGGGAGGAAACACTTGAGTTTATATTACGAACGGGATCCTTGTAAACAGTTTACCTCCCTTTAGACATAACTAAGATGTAATCTCTTTTGGGAGCAAGGTGACTATCACAATAACCATACTTAGACTCATTTAAATGAGGCTAAAAGCAATACTGAATCCTTGCACACAGGGCCAAAGCTCCTCTTTTCCTTCACGTGCAGGTTCAGCTTTTGGTGACGTGTTTTCCAATAAAGCCTTTTAAAGGTCTGGCAACAGCCTGAGCCTCCCTGCTTCAAGAACAGAGCCCAGATTTTTGGGGACTTTCTGGTCCGATTCATGAGACAAACAGGCTATGGCAAGGATGGAGGTTGCCACCTCTGAGCATCTGACAGCAGAAGCCATTAGCAGCATCTTTCTGTCCAAACCCACTCAGCTGGCACCAACCCACTGCCCAGCTAAGGGCTTTCTTAAGAACAAAGATGTAGATCAGTTCTCTGTATGATTTGTTACCATGAACCTATGAAACAGCAAAAGCTCTAGGTCTCGAATTAAACAAGGGAGGCAATGAGCTTTCACATGTGAACTAATGAAGTCTACCTTCCAACCTGCTCTCAGACATAACCCCCAAAGAAGAGCAAATGCCTGTGTCACTCTTGGGTCAAATTCTCCAGGCACAAAGTAGAGCAGAGAACAGTCGGCAGAGGGGACCAACATCCTTCGTGGACCTCCTGCGGATGGAGGACAGGTCCATCCCCAGCTGCCTGCAGGCACAGCGGGAGTCAAGTGTCCAGCAATAAGCCCTCTAACTCACATCAATGGAGCAGCCAAGGAGAGAGCCTTTCTGAAGTGCCTTCTGGATGATTTTGAAGAGGTTGGGTGGTGCCTTCTGCAGCTCATACCATTCTGCAATTCCACCGGTGAAATCCTCAAAGCCTTCAGTGGTGGTGCCACCAGAGAGAGCCTCGTACGAGCCGTTCAGCCTGCACAAGAGGACACAACCATCAGGTTCCCTATTCTCCTTTTTCTCCTGGAGACAGGCACTGAGTTGTGCCAACTGCCATAGCATTTCTGCTTTCAACAGCACCACAGCAGCTACAAACACACACCCCATTCAGCTTTGCTTCTTACACCTCTGTACTTAGAAAGCCCAGCATGAAATCTAATATGATGATGTACTGGTTGCAGGTTCAGTCATAGCAATGACAAAATTCATGGGCACTATTTGAAGGAAAAAAAAAAAAAATCAAGACCCAACAATTTGCCTCTCTAGTTCCACAGAATATTTCAATTCCTTTAACAATTACCAGTCTAATTTTCAGCTGAGTACACGGAATGGAGCTTCCCAGACCCCAGTGACAGGAGACAGCACTTTGGAACAACCTTGCCATGAGATGCAAAGGCTATTTTTCTTGGCTAGCAGCAAAGCCAGTACTTTCGGCTACTTGTCTTAAGCATCTGCTGGCAAAGCTTTACTAAAGCAGCCACTGTGGGATACCCTAGAAGTTGTAAACACTAATAATTAGGCGGACATTTTAAGTGTGTAGTATCTATGCAGTTGAGGCTACTATGTGGAAGGAGAGGCACGAGGAGATTTGAGTGGGGTAAAAGCAGTCTTTCTTGCTCTCGCAGGGCTGCCCTGGCCTTGACTCACTTGGCATAGGCCTTCTCCAGCAGTGCGCTCCAGAACTCACTGCCCTCTGCCGAGTGCACGAAGAGCAGCTCCCCATTCTTGGTGGGCAGCCTGTCGTCCACCACGACGTCCACCCACTCCCCGTACTGCCAGAACTGGAAAGAAAGCACAAACACCTCATCACTGCCCCACGCTGTGTGATCAAGGCACCAGAACATTTATCTGCCAACACTGATTTCCTAGAGGAAAAGCAATCCTCCTTGCAGCCAGGGATGTACAGGTATGCACATCCTCAGCTGGATCTGCTGATGGAGGAAGGGCCACAAACACAGCCCCTGCTCCCAGCTCTTTGGTTAGAGGTCTTCTTCCCTCCACCACCATCACCCTTCTTGGACGTCTCTGTTTTACTGCCTGTCTCTTTGACATCCCTCAAAGTGTTCCAGGAAACACCACACACGTAGACATAGCCAGCCACACCAGCCCCTGGCCAGCAGCACTGGGGTGAAAGGCTGTGTTCCATCTACCTGGAAGTGGAAAATTCCTGCATATTTATCCTGGAAGCTCTGGTCTTTGGGAACAACACGGGCCAGAATTTCTTCATTCAGGGTGAGAGAGGCAATAGCAGCCAAGAGCCAACAGTCCCCTGTTAAAAAAAAAAAGTTCATTATTGAAACTTTGTTCTTTAGTTTTTATACTGCACAGGGGTTGTGCATTATAACCAATAACCACCTCAGCTGTGATGAGATAGTCCCTCCCATCACCTTACCTCTAAGGCAGATCAAATGCATGTACAGAAATACACGCCACTGCCAGGCAAGTGTTGCGTTTCCTCAAGCCCAAAGTAATAAAAAAAAGAGTAAAAGCAGGCTTTTTACGATCTACCAGCACAGTTCTCACCCATGCTGGGCCTATTTGCAAGAAAACTTAATATCCAATTGAGTGTCTACAGGTTAGGAAGCAGCATGGGGAAAAGGCGAAGAGCAGGGCCTGTTGGGCACACACAAGTACTGAGGGGTGCAGTTTCTCCTCAAAAGGCCTGTGTTTTCTCAAGTACAGGCTGCTTTCCTTTCCCTCCTCCTTGTTTAGTAAGTGCCTGTTGACTTGCCATCCAGAGGTCTACTCTACAGATGAGCTCCCTTTCAGGTCTCTGGCCATCCTCCTACCAAACAGGAGCTCCTTTCACCTTGTACATCTCTGGAGGCCCTTGCTAGGGGCCTCTCTGTTTAGTCCCGCATCTCATCTCTGGTGCTGGTCACCAGAGAGTCAGGAAAGGTCTGAAGGCAAGCACTGTTCCCCAGTCCCACACACCTCTCCACCCTTCCTGGGACGGAGCCAAAATACACCGAGCCTGCACGCTGGAGTCCCAGGGTCCAGGCTATCTGGATGGTATTTTTCCAAACCATCTCCTACCAAGCAGAGGAAGGAGGACACCACAACTACATAAACATTACCTTTTTTTTTTGTAATTATTTTCAGAAACCAGTGTTACTTTTAACAGAGTGGTTTATTCTCCTGTGACAGATTATGAATCAGAGAGGATGCTCCCCTCCCTCCTCTGCGACAGCACATCCATCTCACCCTGCAAAATGGCGACTCTTCCTACAGCTCCTTTGCCCAGACCCCCTTCCCTGGGAGCTGCGCACCCTCTGGTGCCATGGTGCGTTCAGAGGTGCTGCCAAGCACAGCAAATGTGCTTGCTGGTAAAAGGATGGGGGTCAGAAGATACTAAGAGACATTTTTAGATGGGCTAGTCTACAATTTGCAGTAGGATCCTCTGGCCTCCAGCCATGGGAGGGCTTTAGCAGTCACCCTTCACAGCAATTCTCCTTACAGAGGAGGACACTAAAGGGCTCTGCAAACAAACCCTTTGGTCAAAAGGCAACAACAGGACTTCAGCTTCTGTGCTTAGATCTGTGCTCTCCCATACACAGCCTGCCCACACAAAGTTACTTTTGTGGGTTTTTTTCCTGAAGTTTTTTTTGACCAAAGGAGTCTTCAGACAAACCTGGCAACATGGTAAGCACTTTGAAGAGGCTGCCCAGAGATCCATTCTTACTGAGGATCCCTGTATTTATTAAATATCCAAAACAGGTAGTTTCTGAACAAGAGTTGAGGTTCTTCAAGTCTAGAGAACAGCACTGGCACTCTGACGGGAGTTCTTGTGGGGTAAGGCTGTCTCCACTCCTTCCTCCTTAAATCTTTTTCTCCCGCTGGTACTCATCACAAAGCAAGTTAATTCATTAACCCAGACAGAAAAAGTCTTGCTGTTGTCTTAGGGAGTTAAAGGAGGTTACAGCTTGTGACAGAGCTCTTCTGGGTCAAGAGGGCAGTGGGTTATTAAGTATTGGCAAGTAGAAATATCAAATGTCAGAGACATTGTGGGAGAAGGGGCTAGATGTAAATATACAAGTGCACTGGACCAACACACACCACAGGAAAGCTGAGCACTCTCCATCAACACCCCACCACAGCACATAGCAGATAACCCTTGGCCTCCCCCACAAATACTCTTCTTCTAGCACCCAGGAGTGACTCATTCATAGGTGGTTTAAAGATCAAGAAAATCCTAAAAGAAGGTGAAGAGTGGGGATCTCCATTCTCCCTGCTGTGCCACCGTCCCTCCAGCAGGAACAGCCACACCTGGGAAAAGTTGGCAAGCTTTAGTAAGACTTTTAATTTCTAATAAATAGGCAATCTCAAAGCATCCTGGACATTAGGAACAGGCATGAAACAAATCCCAAATATACAAATTGCTAGGTTAACCAGCCTGATCTCAGCACGAAGGCCAAATAACTGATAACCTGCAGCAGAACAACCCTGGCACACATCCCAGGCTCTGCAAGGCTTTTACACACACACACACCTTGGAGGTGAAGCGTGTCTCTGGCATCTTAGATCTACACTAGCTGGACTAAAGCCACCACAGGTATCCTTACCTAGACTGCTAGGATGCCTTCATGTGGTTAGGCAGATAGGTGCTTTTATTCAGACTAAATTAGCTAAACCCAGAAAGAGAGCAACTCAGCCTGCTTGGCACTGTTGCGCTAGTCCCAAGGCACAGCGGAGTAAACCCACGCAGCTCCTGGCCTCCACAGCAGAGATGCAGGCAGAGCTGAAGGCACTTTGTGCACGCTCTGTCGGGTGGGTGGAAACAGCCAGAGGCACGTCCTGTGCCCCTTGTTCGCCATCAGCTGTGGAGGTGGTTTCCCTCTCAATTGCTCAACCTGCAGCATAATCCAGAGTTGACGTTGCACAGCCTTGCTCAACCAGGCAAACAGGACCGCTCCAAGAGACACCCAGAGCATCTGACGGTGTTACTACCCTCAGAAAAACTGTGCTGGTTTAAAGTAGCAGCAAGTCTGGCTCAGAGGGCAGCTGTCCCACCACTCTTCCAAAGGAATATTAGCATTTCTATTCCACAAACAAAGCAGGCAGAGAACAGCACAGAAAGAATAAGTGAACAACTCAACATGACCACAGTAGCTCAGGAAGCCTCGGTCATGAAGCTGGCATCTAGGTTAAAAGCATATACCCTTTAATGCTGTACTACACCTCTGAGTCAAGTTTCCTCTGTCGACAAGAAGCACTGAAGTTCATGGAGGAAGAATTTCCCCCCAGAGGACTCCTAAGCAGAATTTACAAAGAATTTCCTTTACTTTCTAGCTGTCCCATCAAGGCAGACATGAAGAGAAAGAAACAGCAGACATTGTTGTAAAACTTCTCTGTTGAACTTCATATTGGTTTCTAAGGAGAATATGGAGTCAGACAAACAGATCTTAATTGGGACAACTCTGGGCAAGGTCTTCTTGAGGTTAAAAGGCAGACGCAGTGTATATGGCAGACACACCACCCTTTGGTTTCTGCATTTAAAAGTGCTCCACAGTCAGGATATCATCTCTCTCTTTCTGAACAGTCATCGCTAAAAGTAGACCTGATAATTCAAAGCCTGGATGAGAACAAATCTTGTGATAATACCTCGAGTTTTACCCTGCAAGAAGTAAGCCTGAGCAGGGCCTTTACCAAATAGTCTTATCTATAAGAACTGATACTTTTGTAAAGCTCTTGACAGTGCCTTTCCTCTGATAGAGAAGGGACATCCAAGGGGAGGCTAACAGACAGGTTAGTCACATGAAGAACTTGAAGGGCATGTTAGCAAGGCTAGGTTAATCACATAGAATTTGTAAATGCGCAATACGATAGGCAGAACAAGGTTATCAGAAAAGGGAATACTATCAGACTGTGACTCTATATTAACAAGAAATACTATTTTTTCCCTGTCATTATTTTTAAACACTCATAGCTATAGGTTAACAACTACATCAATGGCTGAACATATTTATATTAATAACATGGGAGGCCAGGAGGTTTCTTGGTTAGAAGCACGAGGCTGTGGCCATTCACTTACAGTACAGTGGCTGCCAGCATGGAAAAACCAAGTAACTCATTTTCTAAATTCATCCCACCCAATTCATTATTTTTCCCGCATTTTTATTTAAGGAGAAGACACCTGTGTCTAATCAGCAGATGAGAGATACTGTGCTGTGTATGCCCCAGTGTTGTGATACCATGGTGACATCCCCTCCAAAAAAGGCGGTTAAGGGAGAATAGATTTCCTCTCTGCAGAGGCTTTGGTTCCTGCCCTCCGCTGGAATGAGTCACCACATCCTATGCGCTGCCGTTCTTAGTCAAATACCATCATTGACTTCGGATGCAATACTGCAAAACTAACTCCAAATACTCGCCTTTAAAAGTTTCTTCTAAAAAGCAACAAAACCAGAACAAAGGATCATCCAAAGCTCAAGGGGCAGAACTTTGGTGTCTGGAGAACCTAATGAACTGCTGCCCTGGTGAGGGGACAACCTTTGCTGAGCTGATGATCAGCTGTGCCTTTTATGCATTGCAGCGTCGTACAGTCCAGGTCAAAAACAGTGAAACAAATTTATGGGCTGCATCTGGCCCACAAACCAAAAACTCCTGGGCTAAAAGGAACACCTGTATCACTGCTCGTTAGCGGACTCGTTTGGTTACACATCCCCTGCTGAGAAGCCTGCTGCAGCACTGATGGGTGCATGGCTTCCGATGCCTCTCCATCCCTGCATTACCCCAAGATGTTCTCAATGGCTTAGCAACAGCAATGAAACTCCACCCGGGGATGGGTCTGCTGTTTTGTGATTAAGCCTTTTGGGTGATAAATAGATGACAAAATCTTCCTACAGGAAAAAAAAAGCAACATCATAAAAAGTACGTGTTTCCAAGAGCACCTGACACCTTCCAGTGCAATCTCTGTGATATCCCAAGATGTGATGGGACATCAGCATCAGGACACAAAGTTCAAGTAAATGGAAGCTTAAGCAAATGTATCGATACAAATGCTGGTGTCAGATGAGGCAGTGGCAAAAAAAAAAAAAGAAAAAGCATTTGTACAGCACATCTGCTAGCCTTGTTGCGTGAAAAAGCAGAGATTCAATACAGGCTCTTAGTAACTCAATGGCTATACAGAGAAAAGACCAATAGCATCTAATTTTTGGTCAACCACTGAACTGTCACACAATACCAAAATCCTGCCCAGATTCATAAGAAGATAGTGGGGCAAGTCATAGCAGTACTTAGTCATGGTCAAAACAGTAATATAAACAAGAACCTTAACAACCTCCCATTCAAATACTGTGTCAGGAAATAAAATAACACAAGCTTTGAATCAGTTCATATCCTTTGGTGGTACCATATAACCTCATGAGAACATCTGACCGGTCCAAAGACCATAAAGACAACAAATGCTTTCACCAATCTAAAACAAGGTTTGGCATTAGCAACAGCAACTCCGCAACTTGAAAACTAAATTACAAATCTTTCAGTACAGCGTTCTTGCTGCCACAACACCTGGATACAAAAGCTGGAAGCCTGCAGAAGGCAGAAAGCAACTAGCATGCCTTCAGACATGAGCATCTCTGCAAAATGCCAGCTGTTGAAACAGCATGACAATAAACTGTCATTTCACGTTGAACTACTCCTTAGCCGTGAAGTTTCACAATTAAAAAAAATAAAAAAAGGACACATGTCCGGCACGTGTGTTAAGCCCTGGGACATACTTTATGCCAAAGCAGTTGTGGGGGGAGGCATGATACCGAGCAGAGAGAGAACTCACGAGGGAAGCTGGTGACATGCCAAGGACTTCATGGATGACACAACGGAGCCTAATCCATGCCATGGATTATATTGGGGCACAAGGAGAACCAAATTCACAATCTAAGTATTTTTTATTGTCAGGGCTTTTTACAGAAATTGTATCTAGTTGTTAAAGCACCAACCTGAATAACTTCTGAAAAAAACTTAAGCACAAAACATGTGAAATAAGCTTCCCTATCTGTTATATTTTCAGACGTGAAACCACAAATAGCAGCAGCGAGACTAGAAATGAAGAAGGCACAACGTGGCTCGTATTGTGCTGACAAAAACAAAATAAACAGAACTTCATTCCTTTGCC